ACGCGGTAAACTTCAATGACCATTATCAAAACCTCTCATATGGGAACCGGCAAACCTGGTCTTGGGTCACGGGATCTCTTCAACTGGGCTCTAAACTCGAACATCAGCAACCAATGTCATTTTTAATTTCCGAGCTCCATCTCAAGCTACTTCAACACAGCGCCAGTTTTCGAATTTACGCTGTGGCATATAGCATTCCATTTGGCTAAACTTTCTGGTTGGATTATGCTCCTGGTCTTCTTCCTCAGTCTTATTCAAACCTTTTCCAACACTGCATGTGGTGAACTTTCGCCCTACCATTAGCACGGGCTGTTAGCTCGTATTCATCGGAAAGTGCAAATCAACCCGAACACAAGGATCACATGCCTCCTGATCCATCTTCAATGTCCAAATCCTATTGCTTGAGCCACGCACCTGTTGCCTCAATCTTGGAGGCTCAAAATTTGGAGAGCTTATGTAGAGTTATGACAACATGGCAAGTATCATCAAAACCCATTCTCCTATATTCTCTAGAATCAGCCCTCCTAAGTCAATCTTTGCTTTTGACGAATGTACGGAGATTCCTTAGCCCGCTTTATTCATTATTACCACTGTCCACCTTGTGTCTAGGATGTGCTGTCAGGAACCTGGATCTTAAGAACAACCATATTAGGATTGAAAAGCAAAGTATAACAAAGGGTTTTAACAGATACTGCCAGATAGATGCTGCAAGTGTGATATTCAGATGTGCATCTATGTAATTCCTTTTCAACATGATATTACAGATGCAAAGGCGCGGCCGTATAACGAAGGTATTTTCCCTGAAGATTTAAGAAGCCCCGTAATGACTCGCATAGAACCGATGAGACCTTGATTGCGGGTATGGCACGTTGTCAAGCTCATCTTCTCAATCCAAGAGAAGGCGGGAGCTGCGAACTGGTGCGAGGATCCTAACGGAACCTTCTGCAATCAGATGACATCATTTTTTCCGCGCGGTCGGCGCACTTCACGGCCTCAACCACTGCTGGATAACCCCTGCGTTCGATTGATGTGACCTAAGACCTGAGCTTTGATTTGATATTATGAAATCACTGGATGTGCTTTCTTTCAAGGGGCAACAATCATTGGTATCAGCTGCATGCGAGGTCAGATCAGTTTGGTTTTGTCCGTATGTACTATTAATACATGAAAAAGCCCTTGCCTTAGGTCATCCCTTCGTAACTGCGCTGACCGTTTGATTTGAAAGATCTACATATCCATGTGAAAGAGTACGAATTAGCCGCTTTTGCACTTGCTATTTAGCTAATGCTGGGTCACACATCATCAGACAGTTTGAGTTTGTTAAGACGAGAGTCTGTGCAACATCTCATCTCGTGATTTGGTTGGTAAGCTCTGGGCTTTGTCATACCACTCATCTGAATAAAGTTGCCAAGCGAAACAATCCATTCGAGGTCGCGGCCATTTTGAGGTAAGATGAGTGTGCCAGTCGACGTTTCGATAGCGATAAAGCATTCTGATTGCTCGATGTTGTTTAGGAGTCAAGCACGCTGGAGATTATCTACTGGACGGACTTCCGGATGGAATGGTGCAAATATGACTGGACTCGGAAAACTAGCAGTCTCTTGGTTCGGCCCCAAGCTCGAAAGCGAAGGCGCGCGAAGGCTTATCTCTTCCGTTTGCGGTAGCGCGGTCGTGTGAAAATCTCCGTCGCCGATTCTTGATATTGTGGGATGGTTCAGAAAGTTTAGGCCGTAACTGGTTAGGTGTTGATCACTGTATTACGGTTTACCGTGTATATATATATGATGTTTATCCTTTTCGCAACCTCAACCAACATTCTAGCATCGGTGGAATCTGATCTAAGTCTTTCAATATCAATTCCGCCTATTTCACGCTCATAAGAACTTCCTGGTCAGGCATCATGGCTTCCGGAGTAGGTGGAACCAACGGCGTGAACGCCGGGTCGAATTACGGCCAAGACTATCTGCGCGCGGTGAGGGGTATCACAGCATCTTCTTTTCCGACAGAGGAGGATCGCATGAAGGCACTGTTAGCAACGTATGAAGTTCTTGCTAAGTTGGAAACCCCCTGGGATACATATGTTAGGATTCATTTGAATCAGGTAAGGCTCAAGAAACGCAGATTTGAAAAGTCGTAAGGTGCTAATTAAGTCTTAGTCGGCTGTCACTGCGGGGATCAAAGTCATCAAAGACTTGAATTTGATGATGAAGTGGAAGGAAGAGGGATTTGCCCCGATGACGAGTGTTCAACTCGCAGGCCTTGTAGGGAGCTGTGATCCTCAGCTTCTTCGTAAGTCTGATCGGTGTTAAACTTGGAAACTTTGAAACATCTTTGGACACAACTTAGTACTGACAGATTGACTGTAGACAGGTTTCTCCGTAGCCTAGCCGCTAATGGTCTTATGGAACAGGTTCCAGTAGAAAAGTTCAAGCCGAACCAGTTCTGCATGGAACTAGCAAAACCAGACTTTCACACTCTGACCAACTTCTAGTGAGTAGCACAATCAAGTCGAAGTAGTCTTGCATACTTATAAGCCCCGTAGTTACGTGACTGGCCATCGTGCATATGGTACTTTGCCCGATCATCTGGCAGAAAAAGGGTACAAGGATCCCTCTAATCCTGCGGACACAATCCTTCGGAAATCCACTGGGCACAGCGGAGATCTGTGGTCGTTTCTAAGCGAGAACCCGAAAGTAGGTGAGATGTTCAACATCGTACAGAAGGCGTCCACGAACAAAGAGCCACCATGGATGGATATGTACCCTCACCGCAACTTGGTCGATGGATCTGATCCGAGTCTTCCACTTCTTGTCGATATTGGTGGCGGGATTGGGCATGATCTCTTACGGTTTTACAAAGCCTACCCCAACGAAGGCTCAAGATTATACCTCGAAGATCTCCAATCAGTCATTAGTGACGCGAAGGATAAAGCGCTCCTTCCAGACACGGTGAAACAGGTGGAATACAGCTTTTTCGAGCCACAGCCAGTGAAACGTTTGTTATATGGATTTCTTTCTAATTACAAACTTGGCGCTAACATGGGATCCAGATGCGCGTGCATATTATATGCATCATATAATTCATGATTGGCCCGATCACTCGGCCCTGAAGATACTAGAGATGCAGAAAGGCGCCATGAAACCTGGCTATAGCCGGTTGCTCATTCACGATCAGGTTCTAGACGACGAAAAGAGTCAAATGAATACTACAGCATTCGATATCGCCATGATGGTGTATCTATCTGGAAAGGAACGCACTGAAAAGCAGTGGTTGGCTTTGCTTGACTCTGCGGGTCTCAGAGTCATCAAATTTTGGAAGAAGCCACCAGACTACTTCAGTGTCATCGAAGTTGAGGTTCCAGCTCCCTAGGGCTTGGTAGGATTCTTTTCTTGAAAACTTACAAATGGCAACGGCGTGTATAATCGTGAGGAATTGAACAACACTTGACACAAGCTACGTTGACATAGGCTGTGATGTTCTTGTCAACGAGAATATGTAATGACGGTAACTGCATCACACTTTGTAACAGACTATATCAATTCAACTAATTACAACATGACTGAAAGTGCTCTTTCTTCAAAGCCACAAGAAACAAACCCTTGAGATAGTATCAAGACGCTCGATTATTCTTTAGTTTTGTGTCGTCAGGCATCAAAATGTGCATTCAACTTGACGCTGACGAAGTTTTATAATCGCTGGCCGATGATGTTTGGTACACAAGTTCAATGGTAAGTGAGTTGAAAGTCTAAGAAAACAAAGAGAAACTGCACAGTATTTTGAATGTCTGTAATTGGAAACAAATCTGAATTGCAGTCCCAACTTAGAGACTCTTCAGCTCAACAATCTCGTCTCTGTGTACTCGAAGGCCATAAATACTTTCAGGCCCGCCTATGAACTTATCTCCGAATGCTTTAAATCCATCATCGCGCCTACAGTATGTCTCAATGACTGTTTGAATAGGCTTGTAAGGATAAGGGACCATGATGCCCTGCCCATGGTCCTTTCCATCCAAAAACATTAACTCCAACTCCTCTGTTCCGCTCCATTCGTACTCTTTCCACGACTCTAAATCATCCATCGTCCACTTAACGTCTCCAGAATAGACGTAACTTGCTACTGCTCTTGGGTTAGTCACGCAGTCTTCCCCTCCCAACACAACAGTGCTGCGCATTCCGGCTTGAATGCCATTGCCAAATATCGCAATTTCTTCTGGCGAGCCAGACGCGTAGTATCCAGCCTCAACATTTCGTAGGCTTGGAGTGAGCATCTCGCGCCACATGAGAGATTCCCGCCAGCAGAGCCTTCGAGCAAGTGTATATGCTGTACCGGCGTCGGTTGCACTTGCCCACCATATTTCCCATTCATTGCCGTGTCCCGTTCTTCCGCGGATCGATGGTGTAGGCTCCCTGCGAGTAAAGTTGAAAGCGACGTCTGGGAGATGAAGGAGCAATGACACTGGGTCGATCAAGATTGATGCCGCAACCCGCGGAGCGAAATCTGCTCTTTGTAGTAGTTGGCCCATCAACAAAGTTCCGTAGCTGTTACCGATAAGAACAAAGTCATCCCATGCTCCCCTTTCTCCGACTCCAGGCGCTGGTTGCGAAGCTCTCTGCTGTGCCACACACTTTGCAATCATCTCGCAGAGTTCGGGTGTTGATGGCAATGGCCACGTAGTGACACGGGAAGAAATTGGCAGCATCTCGACTGCAAGGATTCCGACGTCCTTGGGAATTGTGTTGAGCCAAAACATGTAAGGGATCAAGCCGACACCTAGGCCATGTATAAAAACGACAGGACGTTGTGTTGCTGACTTATGAGGTCGATACCAGTAAGACATTTTACTCGCTGCGGACTGTTTGAAAGGGAAGAGATTGATGAATCGAACCGGGAAAACTTTGAAGAAGGTTGAGAATGATTGTTTGTAGTAGCGATAGCCTTGGGTAAGAAGATACAAGGCCATCAAATTATCGAAAAGTCCAATGACCTAGGAAACAATTTGGTCAGTGAAGGTACTTCGACGAGTCCAAGGGTGTCAAAAGTAGATTGTGCTAACGACGCATGTGCCGCTGCCGATTTTAAAGGAAAGAACGGTTGCAAGCAACTCACCATATAATAGAGCAAACTTCGATGTTGGATGATTACAGGGTCGAAGGCGAGTTTCAGGGCTTCAGCATTTCCTCTTCCCGGGCGTAATTTGATCCCAAACTTTTCTTCGGTATCGTCAATGTACCCTTCGAGTTCGGCTTCAACTTCCTTGGAAGGGCGACCGGCTGTGTTGTCCTGTTCAAACAAGGCCCATAGTAACCAATCTTTGAGGTTTTCGCGGCGTATATCCTCCATATGTGCATTGAGCATCCACATGCGAACGAATTCCTCGCCATCTGGGACGAGACTCAAGGCCTTGGAGAACAGTCGGGCGCGCTGTGATCGACTCATTCGAGCAGGAGTATACGGCTTGTAAGTTTGCAGGTACCGTTTGTATGGTAGGAAGAAGAGCAAGTAAAAGAGAATTTCGATGGCGGCAATGACTTCGATGAAGATGGAAACTGGATGGGCAATAGCCTTGACGCCGCCCAAAGCAAATACGACGTAGAAGTATGTCAGGCCCAGAAGTCCCAAGTCCCTCATCATGATGATTAGCAGACGCACCGCGATGTATTGCGGCCATGTTTTTTGGACAATCATCGTCGAAGTCTAGAGATCGGACTGTTCCCGTGCTATGTTGTTGCCGAAATGCTATAAGGATCGCTGAGATATGTTGAGTACTTTTCGAGTCGGTCGCTTCGAGTTCTTCGTTGATATTCTGCGATAAGAAAAGTAACGGGGAGGTAATAGTTGTTCTAGAGCACTAGTCAAGACTGAAGTCGGATGTAGTGCAGATTCTAGATTCTCTGCATCACTTGTATGCGTTGTGTCGATGACGCGCCGCCGTTGACTCGATGCTGATAAACTCCAATGCCTCATGCTAATGAGAACATAAAAGAATGCATAATCCTCCTAGACAGACGCTCTGGACCTGCCGAGCGGTTGTGACGTATAACGGGGAGTTGAATCGGACGCGGCAAAGCCAACCGTGGATACTTGAAAGGAGAGCGGGCCTCCGTATCCGGGAAGAAGACAGCGGAGGCAGTCCCCTTAACTTGACATCGGCAGAGTGGAGGTGATGGAAGACGGTGATCTTAGACTGCACCGCATAAGAATGCTGGCTGCGGTAGTTTCAAAAGGGCTTGCCGCACTACGGACGACCTGTCAGCAAAATACGGTTATCTCTGACATGTGTTGCGCGTCCTGCAAGGCGGATCATCTCAGCCGTGGGAGATGGGCTGTGATTTCTGTCTGGTTTTCGGCTTTACAACCGAATATAGGCCAATTGACCAAACGGGTAATCGAAGAGCTGCACCTTAGCGGCGATGAACTTCGGCCCAAAACCGACTGTGTCGGACCTTGCCGACTCTCCATCGCCTTCTGAGCCCTGTATGGCTAGGTCTCGTGTTTCCTCGGTCTGTTCTCTGTTGGCGATTGGGCAGATGCGTCTGATGTTTACTTGTGCTCGTGTCATCGTTCATGTACTCCGGCCAAGGCTTCTGTGGGATACCCTTGTGCTGTCAACGTCAAAGCCATCAGAGAGGCCCGAGATCCGCATTGATGCTAGGATCTAGGGGGTAGCTCCCCGTGTTCGTTCACCGTGTTCGCTTGCAGGTACTTGATAAATCTTCTGATGGGGATTTTGACACATGGATATTCCCCATGGTTATCCATTATTCCTATCCCATCAGACGCCTACATGTAAAGATGTCAATAGTTGTGATGATGACTAGCTACCCAGCTTGGAGCTTCTGAATCGTACATAAGAGTGCATTCATGGATGCATGGCAGGCTTCTCGCGTTATCAACAGCTACGGTAATTGTGAGTACAGCCACTGGTCAGATACGTGAAGCTTCCCATTCTCTGAAATGAGTCAGCAATCGATGGCATGCAGCGAAAAATAACAAAATGACTGGAAGTTGTCAAATAATCACTTAACCACGCGTCTATGAAACCACTTTACTCAACTATCACTAGCGCAGGCTTGATCTATTCAACTTAATGTGCAGTTAGTACCTAGTCATCGTATTATTCTACGTAAGTTGGGTGTTTGGCTTCTGGGCGTATGACCCTTCTGTATCATCGACTTACTTCATTCCTAAGTGATGTGGTATGGATACACAACAAGTCGAACGCTGCCATCACAACGATGATTGATCAACCTCGATTTAAGTATTTAGTAGTAACACACAGCCCCTTTGCCCCAGAGTCGTGGCCGACTCTAGCAACTTGCAGAATACCACTTTGTTATACTCGGTTAACCAGAGCCTAGAACATCTGGCAGAGGTGAGGGTATAATAGGTCAGTCCAAAAAAGGATACACCCCAACTCGTGTACGGCGTAGATCAAGGCATCTCAGATGATTCGGGACTTGATTGGAAGCATGAATGATTTATCCAGGTCGATTCGACCAATTATTGATTAAAATCTAATACTCGAACTATGCTTCAAATGAGGCAGGTGAAAATCTAGGAGATGGGGCAGTTGATTGCGCTAAGAAGTGATCGGTTAGCTCTTATCTTCAATATTGCGTGCATTGTGTAACTTACTTCTTGTCGGACTCGTTGGCGGTGATGCCATCCGGCTTCTTGCCGTCCACAGTGCACTTCGCGAAGACGTCAGGGACGATTTGTCCCGAAGTGGTACCGCAGTCAATGTGATAGCTCTTGCCACTGGTGCCGGTCACGTCGATGTCGTGGCCAACGCTGACGTATTGGTTGACAATGCCATCTCCGGAGAAGTAGCTATCAATTGCTGTTAGCCCGGCGCAGGACTTGAGCCCCTCGCGATACAATCGCTGAGTTATGTGGCTTCGGGGACACCGTGACTTACCATCCGTAGATGATCTGACGGCTCTCAAGAGCAGGGGCAGCCTGGGCTCCGGCAACCAGGAGAGCAGCAGCGACGGTGAAGGCACGCATTTTGATGAATGTTTCTTAAGATGAGAAGACAGGTACTTTGTTGATTACGGAAGGGAAAAAAAGAATGAGTGACACGTAGTTGATGCAGAACAAATTGGAACTACGACACAAGTGCGTGTCCCATAGGCTCTTATACCAAGAGTACACTAAACCGAGACCGTCGGATTTGTCGATCATTCAGTCTTTGACTTTCACGCATACAGGCCTGGAGTGGAGGCTATGCTCCTTGACTGCATATTGTTTTCATGCTATTGCCGAATGGTAGGCTTCCTGGCAGCAGAATCCTGGGCCCAATTCCCGGGGAATCCGACATCAAAAATAACTTGCCGCCGGTTCATCCAATTGTGAACCTTAAGTGGCTTGTTTGTACGGGAACATTCTCACTGCCACAAGTAGTGGGGAATAAGCAGAGTATAATAGAATGCGCAATCTTAGTTTCAGAAGCTTATCCTTGTCGTGTCAGCCCGGCGACGACTCAGTTTAGCTCGGCCATCGGATTGCTCAACTTCAGCGCGAACCGTTGATAAGTGGTAATCGGCTAATTATGAAGATGTAAGTTGCGGTCTCCAGGTTGAAGGTTCGGAAATTCATGATTCCTTTGGATGAAGTAGTCTGTCTCCAAGGAAAATAAGTACTAACATGGCAAAACATCGTTCATAAGGAAAGAGCAGGTTGAGAGTACGAGTCATGAGCAGGACGATCAAGGAGGCGTGGTACTAGAAGCGCTGTTTGTCTTCATGATTTCCACATGGCCTCTGAAAGAATAGCTTGTAATGTGCTGCTTCTTGTAGAAGCAGACCCTTAGGCTAGAAAAACTAGAGGGTCTTCTAATACTGTCATAAACGATGTCCGGCTAGTTAGAGTACCAACTCGACAGCCAGGTCGCGGTTTCAGACCTTTTGGTAGATGGTGCACGGTATCTTGCTTGATCAGGATGCGACGTCTAACGACGCTGAGTAGAAAGAGAGACATCTTGATGTCTGGGCTGTTCAACGATATTTTCGTTGGCTACCTATTGAGCGTCGGTTCCCAAAGTCTTTGCTGCCCTCTATAAATGTGACGCTGATCGACTGTATACTTTCCCCCCACCTTTCGAGGCTAGGAGCATTACTCGTATAATTAGGGGACATAATAATTAGAGAAGCATATGAAAGTATGTCTGTCATCACTACTGAAGGCCGTCCAAACACATAGTTGCAGAGACAGATAGAGATTGCATTTGTCTGTCTTGACATAGGATGGGAGTGTACGAGGCCAGTTGCTTTTGCATCTCAAAAGTCGACAGGATGTAAGTATTCTTGAGACAGATTTGATTGGTAAATCATCTTGGAAGAAAAGAATTTGCATCTGTAAGTACCCAGGAAGTAGGAATACAGCTCAAGAGTCACAGCCAGAATAATGAACAAAACAGCTGTAAAGGATTGGTACTGCCTGGATTACCCCAGAGCTCTTTGGTTAACTATAGCGGCTTCTAGTTGAAAAGTTGGCTCATTCCTTGTACCTACGACGAGATTAGACAAAGGGATATTTGGTGTTATAAGAGCTGCTTCGACATGTCTTGCTGCTTCATTCCCAGATCTCACAGTCACTGGGTCCCGTGTACGGAGATCTCACAAGAACACTCTTTACCCTCTCCTCGGTCTATTTAAGCCGTTCTCGTTAGGAGCAATGGAAAGCTGACGAAAACAGAGAGCCATGTCTACAAGAGTTTGATATTCAACTCCAAGACCAATCTGTTTGTAGGGAGCTGCAGACAAGCGGTCTCAACTACACGGTTCTGAGAGCTTTAGTTGAGAGCAAAAGTTGACCAAGAAATAGATCAGGTCGGGAAGAAGTCAACGTTTGCGAACCCAATCCTTCTTCAAAGGTGCTCGGTAGAATAGCATCTGCCTAGCAACTAGACGAATGCTGCTGCCTGCTACCTTGATATCTTTGGACTGACAACAAGGGCTTCAAATGAAACGAAAAACATCCCGGCGAACCAAAGCTACCTGCTCCAGCACCGACCACGAATCGAGATGCCCGAGTTAGTGATTACCTCGGCGAAGCTTGACGGGCACTATCCGGGTATCTCATTGATCGATGCTCGCGGTCCACTGCGTGACCCACTTTTTCTTTCCTCTAAGAAAAAGAAAACATGATTTTCTTTTCTTCTTGGAGTTCCTCGAGAAGGAAGGATCTATTGCTGGGAATCTAGGCCCATTGCTTGCTGCACCAATCCTTGCCTGCTGCATCCATGTCTGTCAGACTATCAATAATAGAAACTACACAAGACTTGGGATGCTTGAGGACGTGTTCCTGCTGATGATGTATCTGTAGAGAACTTGAAAATGATTGTGTTTGTCGTTATCGTCTAAAGTGGCCAAGATGTTATGCAAAACACGTTTTGGGCTCTGCTCCGAGATATCAAGGGGGTAACGCGCCATTGACGGTTTATTCTAGCAAACACATCAACAGTGAGCGAACATGCAATCAGATTTGAGCGGGGAAATGGAAGCGATCGTTCCAAGACTGAGGGATCCCAAGGCTGAGGAACCAGTCAAGAATTGTATCGAAAATTTCGATGGTAAGGTAGCATTAGGTGGGAGTGGCAGCTCATGTTTGTGGTACCGGCACATCGAGCCTGCCACGTTTTCGAGTGACCATTCGTTTTGCCAAGATGGCGGGAAAGTGGGAATCGAAGTTCATTGGACGCATCCCCTGGTTCATGCATGAGGCACGGAAAGGTCTGACGACGATGGCCTCCTCGGACAGGTCTAGCCCGGGACTCTGGGGCGCCAAAGCTTTCTTATTCAGACGCGGCTCCTCGTATGTCTCATTGTCTGCTGCAAAAGTGTTGCAACTTGCCACTCTTAGCTTCCCCAACTCCATCAGCGGCTGATAGCCCCTCATTCTCGATTCTCTTGTCCATCTGGCCATCAAGTGCGATTCAATGTCAGAAATCAATTTGAGCCCCAGCAAACCCGCGACAATATCATCTAGATAGGGAATCTGAGAGCGAGGCAAGAGGGCAGCAATCATCGCAGATATTTGCCTCCTAACCAACTGCCACCGGCGATCCAACGGTTTAGTAACTTAGTTCGGCATATTGATCCATGTCCTGATGGCGACATCCAACCAGAGCACTTCATGCACCGGCACCAACACCAACACTATTTCGCTTGTTTGCTAACAGGATGCATATTACCCCTGTCGCACACCCAGAGGCAGGCACAAGGTCCGATTACATCAACTTCTCGGCCGCAAGAGAATTTCCTTTATCTTCGTCTTATATCTGCAAAGCACATTCCCGGTGCTCGGACGAAAGATGGACGAAGCCCAGACGGCAAGCCGCATTCACCTTTCTCACTTCGTGTGACCAGATGTTCCTGCATTCAATTTGTTAGGACTCCCACTTGCACAATGGTTTCCATCGCATACCACTCGGACCACGACATCTCCGGCATCCTAACCATCTCACACGGAGTACTGAGTTTCGTGGCCACTCTTCTCTTCTTGTTCAGACTCTACGCCTCATGGCGGACACCACATGCGATATGGACAGCAGATGTTCATATTTCATTGATAGCGTTGGTAAGTACTCGTCACAGCTCACGTCGAAATAACATGAGACATGGCGCAAAGTGGGACAAACTGACTCAAAGTCTAAAAGTTGGCAAATCACGCCTTGCTTGCTATTGAACTTGCCGGTAAGATTATCCCGATGATCTTCGAGGCAACAAAGCTAAGGCTCTAGTCTAGCTGTCCCACTCGGTCTTGGGACCAATATCCAAGGTGTTATGGAAAATCAACCTGGCGGCACGGCCCCTCTGTTCAAGGCAAGTACTCTTTGCCATTCTCAACTACCCAGTCTCAAATGACTGACACGCGAAGTCCAGTGTATTCTGGCCATCGACATTATACACTGCGTAGCATGCTCGGCCGCCAAGATAGCAGTCCTCGCCATGTACTACCGTCTTTTCTCAGCCTCAAAGGTGTTGCGGTGCTGGGTTTGGGGAACAACAATTGCAATCTTGCTATGGCTCATCGCTGTGATTTTAGTCAGCAGTAAGTGATTATCTAGTGAAGACGTCTTCATACTTCCTTAGTTTCCGACCTCAGTGATCAGTTTCCATCGCCGGGCGAAAGACAGTACTGGTACTCTTGCACAACCCACAGCTTTCTCTTGTTTGCCTGTAGAGTACCACTGGGACAAGTCCCTTCAGGGTACCTGTATGGGAATCAGCAAAGTAGGGATTCTATTCCCGAACATCCTCTTCGACATCATAGCCATGGTCCTTCCCATCACCGAGATATGGAGGCTTCAGATGCGACGGACTAAGAAGGCGGCACTCACAGGCATCTTCTTGATCGGCGGGAGGTATGGGAACGCCTTCATCAAGCTACCTCTGACTCTGAGGTAATTACTGACTTTGGCCAGCGTCATCCTTATCTCCATTTCCCGACCGCTTCTCTTCTGGATCTTCCGTCCGGTGCCCGGTGTAGCGCACAACGTCAGCCAGACAACCGTCTTCCCCTACACGGCATCGGCCGCCGAAGTCTGCCTCGACATCATCGGCGCCTGCCTGCCGCCCTGTGCGTCTCTCTTCAGGCGCTTCTTTGGCGGCGTCGTGAGCGTTGTGAAATCGGGACATCATTACTCCACCTCGCGTGGCAAATCCAGCGGCAAAGACTCGTCTACAAAGAGGTCCAGCAAAGTACACGCTCTGACCATCGGTAAAGCGAGTAACCGCAAGCGAGCCGCCCCCGCCAATAACACGCTCGATCTCGAGGGGTCATCTGAACGGCTCGGGGACGGGGTTAGCTGGCAAGGTTCGACGGACGAATTGTATGGGATGGATGATCTCCAGCACAGCAAAGCGGATGTGGATGATGGCAAGGAACGTGTTGGAATATGCGTCAGGCACGATATCCAAGTTCATCATGGGGGCCCGGTTACGGAGGAAGACATCAGAAAGTGGCACCGAGGAGATGTCTTCGACGGGAGATCTAGCAGACTTTCGGGGGAAGCTAGGGGTTTATAAGTCTTTCAAGTTGCGTTCTTACTCAACTGGTGTAGGATTTTGTACATGTTGGATCAATAGTACATGCTTCTTCCAAAGTACACGTCCCTGGGTCCAAGTCGGTATCCGCCTCCACGGTCCAATTTCACATCGACGTCTGCCCGTTTAGTCAGCTATGACTTGAGCATGGCGTTCGGAAGTTTTATACCTGCCCACCGGTTGCTACTTTCTCACAGCTCAACTCACTCCTCCAAGTCCTCCCATTGCGGAATCACATCCTCTTTGTACTCCGCATCCAACAAGACCTTTACCCACTCATCATCCCCAACCAAGCCCAAGTCAGCTTTCTTGAAATACACCAGAATGACAATACATCCCTGGTTCCCCAGCGAAATAGCCATGATCTCGCCAGTGACCTCATCCGCGAGCTTGTCTTTCGGCGCGGCAGTGACCTGGACATCCTCCCGTTTCCCTTTCATGGCGATGTCTTTGCATTCCGAATCGTTGGTGAATGCATGTATACGGAGGCCGCATCCGGTGCCTGTGGTGTTTTTACCCGAGGCCACGAGTCTGAAGCAGTTGATATATTTATCGTTGATTTGAACAGAGAGAGATTCTTCTAGGTCGTCGAAGTCGTGAGCGGGCTTCTCGCGGGTAGGTGCGAGATGTCCGTATTTCTCCAAGTAACCAAATGGGGATGCTACGCTTTCAGCCGGTGAGTTTGAAGTGGGATTCTGAGACATCGTTCTTGTGGTTTATGCCGCTTTTTTTCTGATGAATGGCTTGGTGACTGGTAAAGCTTCGTGAGAGAGATGTTGTCGTATGTAGAACGCCGTTCTGTTTAGGAACTCCAACGCAGGCTGAGGCTTGATAATCTACTCGCACCTGAGTATGTCTCCGAATGCTTTCTACCTTATGCACAGTAAGAATTAGTTTACCAAATGAATAGAAAAGCTTAAGAGAAAAGCTCCCTTGACCTAAAAGACTAATCCGTTCGTGGGACATAATGGGCAATTCTTGACTCTCCAGTTCCGTGGTAGCGAAAGAGAACTGCCTTCGACTACCGGTCTTAGGTACCTTGTTATCGAAGAAAAATGATTCGATGAGTCACAAGTACGACTCCATGGCCCAAAAGCTCCCTTTAACTTATTCTTAAGTTTACTATATTGACTTGAGTGTGACTCGTGAGATCCTTTGGGCTACCTTGTAGGCCACCTAGCACCAACAAGGTCAGGATGTGGCCCATTCTGGCTGACTGGCGAAGGGGTTCTTAGTTCTCGAAATCTAGTCATACTACTTCCATACTCTCGTCCAAAATTTCCCTCTCCACATATAGTCCCTGAACTCAAGCTTTTGAAAAGCATCCATATCCCACCCCCACCCCCTCGCCAGCCCAAAAGACCCAAAGTGTATAAACTCAAGCGTGGCAAGTGCAAACACTATCAAAAAAGTCAATAACCATCAAGAACACAGCACGCAAACCTGGGCGGGTGGGAACTTACTTCTTGGAGTTGCAATATCCACCAGTTCCCTTCAAACCGAAACACTACAACAAAATCGTCAACAAATTTTATGAACGGGTCGTGAAGATCCGCTTTGAAAACATTACCTTGACCTGACACGCCTTATCGCCCAAGAACGAACACGTCCACCCCTGACGAGTCTCAAGGATCTCTGCGGCGCGCTTGACGGTTTCGGTCTCTTCTGCAGAGAGGATATTACGGTCCTCGAGTTGTTCTGCTGCCGCTGCCGGCGCCGCCGGCTGGGCGATGGGGTTTGCGAAGATTGTCGTTGAGGAGATGACCAGGGCGACGAGGGAGAGGAGGGTCTTTGAGAAGTGCATTTTTGACGAGATGTGGATGCCTAGTTAATTTGAGAAGACCGAAATTTGTGGAATAAAGCAGGTAAGCGAAAGCAGAGGTTGGTTGATGGATATAATGATGATACAACTTGTGAGTTTGGAAGTCTAGAGATATGGATCAAGAAGGACCTCCGACTGTTGGTCTTTATAGATTCTCCCCCGAGCTCATCAATGACAAAAGATCTTCCCCAAGCCCGTCTATATCTCCAGCATGTTCAGGAAATCATACAACATCTTGGCGTCCTCCTTCTCCCTCTCTCGGTTCATCCTCTTGGCAGCTGACTTCCGAGGCGAAGATCCGCAAGCCAAAATCTGACGATCTCGCAGAGGACAGTTGTGGCTCCCAACTTCATCACAAGATTTTCATGATCGGCAAGGCTCACGAGAACGAGAATCTTCCTCTGCTCGAGGCGGGTGTTATTGGGTCCGGACGTGACAATAACTGACGAGTCAGGTATATGGATAACAGGTTAGTGTAACAACTCATAACTATCACACACGGCGAGTAGCCTCACAACGCCCTCTTTGCATGGAACCGGTATGCCAAGAGTTCAATCCCATATCTGGCCCCGCAAAGCTTCAAATCCATATCGCCTCATGGCGTAGATTACCAGACCCACATTGAAACAAGAACGCGGAGTTTCCACAGCTACGTCCGCTGTCTCTCAACAGTATGCCCAAGTGACAACGTATGACCGAAGCAAGCTTTGGATGAAGTACCCATGGAATGTAAGACACGGAACCCTGAAATATAGGCCCTGCGCCGGAAACGGCCTCAACGTGGAAGTAGGTAGAGGCCAAATGTCTCTCTAGCGGAGGCCAAGACACGAACTAATAAGTTGGCATGCGGGTGTAGCCGCCGCCGACGACGCCGAGCCCAGATGATCTCCTCGTTTAGACTTACATCACGTAACAAGCTGCCCAACGGCAACGGCAAGCAGACAAGCGAGCCACTGTGACAAGTCAAAAGCGGGATGATCTCCCCTTCAGATCGCTAGGGAGCCGGAAAAGACTTCACACCGTAGCTTCTACGCGACGACAGGCCTGCGACTAGCGCGTGGGTACGGTGAACGAAGTTGGAAATGATCCGGGTCATTCTGACACAGAGCTGAACGAAGCTGAAGCTGAATAGGCACAAAAACACCAAAAAAAAAAAAAAAAGGCTGAGAAGACAAGAGCTGTCAAGCTCCACGGTGTCTCGCAACCTCCTCAAATTCGCATTCCACACTACCAGACGCCAAGCCACAGCAGCCACCCGTATTCATGTTTGCCACATCAAAGGGGGGAAACGAAAAGCCACACCTGCAACGCTAAGAGAGCGGCCCGTCGGCCGGGGGCCGAACTGCTTGCTTACTTTGGTGTGAGCTTCTTGGTGGCTCGGATGTTCTTGGCGTACGTTGGACGTGGGCTTGCCTTCCTTTCGTCCTTGTGTACATGATAAGCTTTCTTGCAGTCTGCATGTCTACCGCAGAAGCACTGCACCTTTCCAAAGTCTTTGCGCCTTGAAGAGTACCCAGAGTGCGGGAAACACACGAAAGCATCTACCTACTCGAGAGCTCATGGAGCTCGTCCTCGCGTTCCGACCAGCTGGGATCAGAGGAGACACGAGAATGATAGCTCCTGCTCAGACTCTTGCAGTCATGACGTGCTCGCTGAGACGCAAAAAGGCTGTCATCGAGAGAAGCAGGGTCCGCTGAGGCAGAAACAGCTTCCAAGTAGCATAAATAAGCTATTTTGGCTTTCTCCTGGCATATGGATGATATCCAAGTTCCTAGAAAGAGCGGGGGAATGGAAGCAAGGATGACAGTGCCCGGAAGATGTGCATGTCAATCCTGCACTCTTACCGATCGCGAAGAACTTTGTGGAAAAACAAAATTCCTATCTGACCATGCAGGAAAGCAAAGAGCTGCTGGGCTGAACGTTATCCGACAGCACAACGGCCGCAGGTCTCGAAGCCACTTTAAGGCTCGGGCTCGCGCTTCATTGGAGGAAAACATCCAAAAAGGTGTGTTCTGACACTCTGGTTGAAAGGGCTCATGGCCGGCAAAGATGACCCAGAGCTCGTGTACATAATGCCAGCCATCCGTCTCCCAGAATGTCGGATGCCATAGGATGAGACCAATAATGGGCTTACAGAGGTGAGGAAAGTCACATTCGAGCTGAAAAGATGCTTACTGTAGCCCCAAGTTTGACTGACTGCGGAATCCCGTGCGATTAAACCTCCCGCCAGGACCACCGGGAGACTAGCCGGCTTGATCTTCGAGTGTCAGGTCCAGCAAAGGCATTAGGTTCTGGGGTAAGTAGAGTTTTCTCCCATCAATGTAACTTTGATGAGGGAAGCGTAAGAGCCCGACTGTGTAGCACTGTAGGCAAGAGATAACGGCCAAGCTTATACTGCGGATAGCTCGGAGGGGTTCTGTCTGGGTGTCCGACGGATGGTGGTGACATGGTGTTGAGTCCTGTCTTGGGCCAGCCGCAAGCTTAAACACCCCCCGTTGTCCAACCACGTTGGGAGAAACAGATAGGCAGTGGTCGCCGAGTCGTTGAATGAAACTTGGCAATCGAAATAAGGCCGCGGCGGCTGCGTGGGGGTGACTTGGCTTGGGGTCCTTCGTTGTCGGTGTCTTTTGGATCTCCGACGCCTTGTTGGTCGGTGATCGGCCACGGGTGTTGAAACACGCAAAGAGCCGCCCGCCACGTGTTGGTGATGGCCGTATGTATTGTGATACGTCTACCGTGCACGAAACCGCAACCTCTCACACTAGACATGACGTTGAGGTTCCCATTGCGAAAAAAGAGGAGCAGTCGAAATCCGTCTTGGATCTCCTTGTCCTTCCCCCGGTACATCCTCATTTGCAGTACTATAAAGGGGGAGGATGTGCGGGGGATTTTCCCGTAGCCCTGCATCTGCGTTAATAAGAATTAAGGCTTATGTTCCAGGAACAACCCAGTGACATAAAGCGTTACGACTCGAGGAAATTCTGGACCACTGCACTGACTATTGCCTCCTTTGGCCGATCTTTGGGGTGGCTGTGCGTTCCGCTTTCCGGTTTCGCATTGATTTCAGATCCCGCCGTCTCCCTACTTGATGTGCGTGTTCTCCTCCCCCCTGGATCATTCTGCCCGCTCTCATCAAAATGGGTGTTGGTCGCATATTTTCTCGTCGACGCTGGAGCCGGGTTGTTGAACAATCAGATCTCCATCACCAACAGTCGCCGGCAGTTTCTACCATGCCCGACGTCGAGATGGCCCGAACGGGAAGCGTACAACGGCAAGGAGAGAAGGAAGAGGACACCGAGTACAGACCATTGAACTGGAAGAAGATATTTCTAACACCAAAGTATATCCGTATGAATCATCCAGCCGGCATCGAAAAGACAGGGGAAACTGACTTGGGGCGACGTGCAGCATTTCACCTTTTGGGCATAGCCATCATTGTGGCAACAGTCTTCATCAGCCTTCACCATGACGAGGTCGTTGAAGTATGTGGCATCTTACTGAAAGCGAAGAGAATGGTTCACTAACGCGTTCTGCGATTGTAGAAATTGAGGCCCTTCTCTGAAAAGGTCCGGTCGCTACCCGGAGGGTTCTTGATTCCGATCGCCATCTTGGTCCTAATCTCGTTCCCGCCCCTTTTTGGCCACGAGATTGTGGCTCTTTTGTGCGGTGTAGTGTACGGCTTATGGATTGGATTTGCCATTGTCGCAGCGGGCACTTTCATCGGAGAGAGTACGACGCTCATAAGCCCCTACGTATGACCAAATCGCTAACTCGAACTGCAGTCGGAACCTGGTTTGCTTTCAAGTACACCTTGCGACGCAAGGCCCAAAAACTGGAGAGAACCAACCTCAACTATGGTGCGTTGGCGCGATTGACTCGCGACGGCGGATTCTGGGTATGTTTATTGCCATGGGTTGCTCGTGTGGTTGAACTGTGCGACTGACACCTAGTAGATTGTCTTCATCATTCGATTTTCGGTCATTCCGTCTCACTTCTCGACGGCGGTGTTTTCGACATGCGATGTGAAGTTCTGGCACTTTGCTGTGTCGACGTTCTTGACGCTTCCGAAGCAAATCATTCTCGTCTACCTCGGTGTCCTCCTGATTGAGAAGAAGTCGAACAACAGCAACAACACCATTAAGAACATTGTCTTCGGCGCAACATTCGTTCTGACGATCGCACTCGCGATATACATCTATGTCAAGATGAGAAGAGTCAAGAAGATGCTGTTGCAGGAGCAGGAGGAAAGGAGAGTACAGCGAGAGTTGCAGGAGTTGCCTCAGAAGGCTGAAGTCGACGCAGTTGAGACGGAGATTGTACCTCTGCAGCCAGGCGCGGCGACGGTGCGAACAGACAGACCGGGATACCCACACTGGATTTGAGGGCTAGCAGCCAAGATAGGGAACGATGGGAACTTGAGGGAAAACAGATGTCCAGAAATTCGGGACACACAGGGACGGGGAAACATAAGACAGTCGGTTCTCGGAGTTGGCGTTGGCATGCGCAACATAGCGTTGAGGGCAAAGAAATGATTTGCTTTGGTTCTGACTGAATAAGCGCCTTTCCTGAAAGTCTCGAAGTGAAATTCGACCGTACTGGCTTTGCACCAGTGGACACAAGGCACAGACAAATTGCCAAGGTTTGCCGGTCACTGGAGATGTTTCCGCCGAGCGACAGAATGGAGGAATGAGGTGTCAGAATCTCCCGATATCAACATTGGCGAGTCGGTCTCGTGCGGGAAACTGTTTCGAGATGCGCGATATACAGAAAGGCGCCTGAGATTGCCGATTCTAGACGATATGCCAAGACAGATCGGACTATTACCGGAAACCCATCTAGCTGTACACATCAGTGGGCTGACAACGATACACACTTTGGCAATCCCCCATGGATCAATCCAGATCTTGCTATTCGGGGGAGAAAAGAATTGTTCAACTTGATATCATTGATTATCAGCCAGGCTGGCTTTCAGCAAAACAGTTGATCATGGCCGCTTCGGTGAGCGTTTCTGGGGTGGGATTCGGAGAAACTCCATATCGAAAAGCACCAGCGCTATCCCATCGGGTTCCTGCGAGGTGTATGCCAGAAGAGGGGGTCATCTGTGCACCCGTTACGCCGTCCTTGACATCTTTGCGAGAAATGCCATCGAATTCTGGCAGTCAGGGGAGCTAGATTTCACGAGTCGTCCCCTGGTGGTCCGGTCGATGGGATGCCCCTGCGGAAAGATGACGGCAGAGAGTTTTTCCGGCCTGATGGCTGATGGGAGAATATCTCCGGAGCAAGTCCGTGATGAGGTCGGGACTTAACTTGAAGGTTGCAGGTATGACAGTTTGGAGGGTCGTCGACCGAGTCGTTGAGGTTCCGGCCGAGTCGTGGCTTGCGAAGAAAGAAACAACTCCTGGGCGAGAGAAGCGTGGCTCGTGCATGGAACAGACAGTGATGGGAGACTTCAGTGCTGTTTCCCATGCCCAAGTCAGTGTGGGATACCGGAATTGGCCAATCCAAGGTCGGCAAGACTCAAGCTCACAGCGCATTTCACCCCGCCTCCGGTGGTGAGTCCGCTGTGACCGATATCTCTGGTGTCCGCAGCAGGGCCGGACCCCGGAGCGGATTCTGTGCTGGGCGGTCGTGGTCTGGTCCCTGGACGGGGTCTCCTGCTGGGGCTGAAGAAGTAAAAATAGCATCAATCTCGAGAAATTGTCCGCAGCACGCACTTACAGGGTCTACGTCGGTGGCAGTTCCGGTGGCCCTGCTTCGTTCATTCCGGGGAAATGAGGGTGCAGATGGCTCTGCCTTCAGGAAGAAATTGTTTCTACGTCTGATGCTCTGGACAATAAGGTAATGGATAGGCCAGCGCTGCGGCAGGTGAGCGACGGTGAAGGTGGGTAAATATTCACATATACGCGGAGAAACCGGTAACAGAGTGCCGTCCATTCCTCATCCGGAGTCCTTGTCGTTTCCTCCGTGATGCTCCATCTCTCCCATGTCCGGTACATGACAGGGGTTGTGGATCGGTAAATCCGTCTTCGATTGAAGCATTTGGATAATCAGAATAATTCTCTGAGAATTTTCTATTCCTCAAACCTTGTGAAGCCTCATTGTAATATCTGAAGGATTAAATGATGAGTGTCTTCAAGCGATTCCGTAGACGTCTTCTTTCAACGTTTCATCAACACAACACTTGTTTGATGAGGCTCAAATACAGCTGCGTACCTTGGAGCCCAGGAACCTGACCATACCTTAATGAGCACAACCGCCTTGGCCCTCCACCATGACCTCATACACGGATGAAACAACGCGTTTCCAAAGGAGCTAAGGCCAGCGGCCTCCAACTCACCAGTCGACGTGCTCTGTGTGCGTATGCGCCTATGCTATGGGCTACAGGCAGTCCAGTATTTGTGGACAGACACTTGGAGATAGATGCAGGTGGCAGGGGACTCAAAGACACGATGTAGAAATCAAGACCCAAAAGTCGAGATCAGGGTCTTCTCGTTGGCATTTGGGTAGCATTTGCAGAAGCTACATGTACCTTACTAAAGTAACGTGGTAACCTAACGCGTCTTGGCAAATGAGCAATAGACAAACTTGCTGCTAGTCCCCTGATTCCCGGTTTACTGCCGTCAATCTCCAACTCGATTGAGAAATCCGTTGGCGGTGGCGTTCGCATCTTGATTTCCCCCTCTTCCTCAGGTTGGACCCTGCAATCGCCAACCAGCTGCAAGCCGCGCGCAAAAAACGGCTTTCTACTTGCCGTGCGATGGTCAGCATCTAATCGTAGCGCGGCCACTATCGACGTCGGGGTGGCACGGTGGGCGTAATTGGTAACAATTGGTAGTTGGAGGCTTGGATAGCAAACTTGCAAGGTTGAAGAAAACCTGAAGGGAGGACCTGGAAGCAAAGAGGTGAAGTGGGCAGGAGGAGCCTGGCTGAGTCTCGAGAACCCGTCCACGGTGGTGCGGCGTGATTTTCCCCTTCCCCTTTGGTTCCCCCCAGTCCGCTCGGGTGCCTCTCGCCCAGTTCCTTGGTATTCAGCCATTACGAGTACAATCCTGGCCACTGAGAGCTGCTGCGCCTCCTTCCAGACCACCCATCGTCTGTCTACCTTACCTTACCTTTAGTCTGGTCTTTAGCCATCGAGAAAATAAATCCAGCTCTGTTTCTTTTTTGGCGTCTCAGAACCTCGACATACATAATCGAGTCCGTTTTACCCAAAGTCCCAAATCGCAGCGAACACTATTTGCGCGCGATTCGAAAGTCCCGACCCAACATCGCCCAAACCCACCCAAGTTACGACGTCATGGCTGCTGTGCCGTCAGATCCTCCAGCTGTGGCCACCACCACCACCACCACCGATCCGGCTCCAACGAACGGCGATGCCAAGAATGCATCCGACTCCACGGAGACAGCTACCCACGTCACGGAGCCAAACGTTACAACAACAACAGCAACGGAGGAGTTGAAGGCGGCTTCGGAGCCTAAGGCCACAGAGGACACAAACGGACTGTCTTCGTCGAATGGTCACGATGCGACGGGGGACGAACCGAAGCCTAGTCTACCTCCTCGGCCGGCATCAATAGATGCCAGGGAGGGGCTGCCGCCCACCGACCAGTCTGTACAACAACCACCCAATACCGCCACGACAACGAGCACAAGGTCGCCAAGGACCTCTACGACCCAAGGCGCCGACACGGCAGCGACCTCGATAGAAATCGACAACACCAAACCCGCCGACTTTGAGGGCGAAATTTCCACCAACAACGACCTACCAACGCCCCAGATTCTGAAGAAGATCGAGAACTACGTAGTGCTAGACCGTCATGGAAAGAGCCATACATTTAAGAGCTTATACACTGGTCGCAATGTCGCGAGGCGAGTCCTCGTCATCTTCATCCGCCACTTCTTCTGCGGCGTAAGTCTCGTAATGACCCTTCACGACTCTTCTCGTTGCTAACCCTGTCAAGAATTGCCAGGAATTCCTACGATCTCTCTCGGAATCGATAACCCCCGACGCCCTATTGGGTCTTCCCATGAGCACATTCATTACCGTCGTCGGCTGCGGCAACCCTGGCCTGATCGAAATGTACCTCCATGAGACGGGCTGCCCCTTCCCCGTCTACACCGATCCCACGCGACGTCTCTTCGACACCTTGGGCATGACGCGCACCCTTGCGCTAGGAGCTCGACCGGCCTACATGCGCAAATCCATGCTCAAATCAGCCGCCGAGAGCGTATTCCAGGGGCTGAAGCAGGTCAAGAGCGGTCTGGCCACAAAATCTGGCGACCACAGACAAGTCGGCGGCGAGTTCCTCTTTGAACCCCTCGAGCTCGTCACCCCCGTTTCGACACCATACGCCGAGCGGCAGATCGAGGAAGCCATGACGTCCAAGAAGAATAGCATCGACAACAAGGAGGGCATCGACGGAGAGGGCGGCGACGACTTTGAGCCGGAGGAGAAGAGAGTGACGTGGTGCCACCGCATGCGCTCCACGCGAGACCATGCCGAAATACCCGAGTTGATGGAAATTCTCGGACTAAACGGGTCCGGAAAGCCTCCCGCTCATGAGAACAAGAGGTGGTCCAGGGCGCTAGAGACGAGGAAGGGGACTGGGTTGAGCATGGCTAGCCAGATGAGCAAGTTGAGCGAGCAGGAGCGAGCATAGGAGCGGCGAGGCTTCTTTTGGGTCGTTGACGGGTCAGTGCGATCCATCGTTCGCCAAGGCTCCGAGAATTGGGGATGACTTACCTACGATTTACGGATCCAGGCCGTGCTGCGCGGTGTGTGGATGACTGTGGGCAAACTGCTGAGTGTTGTTCCTTGATTTTTAATTTGTTCGGGCTGTAATCAACATAGCCACTCAATGATACCTGCAGCATACATCGCATCTTGCATTTCTATGGTAGAACAGGTTGAATGTGACAAGGCGACGGACCTTGGGTCTCCTCGATGGCCACGTCCCAGCCTGGTGAGATGTGGTTGAATCGACTCGACGAAGGCGGGTACCTCATCCCATGGACGAGATGAAGGGAGCTACAAGGTTTGACTGAAGCTAGATCATCCAAACTCGGGCACAACTTTATACCACGTATCGGCGACAAGTTGAGGCCTCTCTAGCTGCAACCCGTCATACGTCTCCTTCACCATCCTGAACCGATACGAAAATAAGCAGGATGTTACGAGTACGACGAAATACCTAAATCGCATCGTCAGATGAACTAAGGCATTGTCAGTCTCATCAGCTAGGTCGGTACCTCGCATCCTTCCGCCAGCCCTGAGTACCTTCGCTGATTACGATATCTTTCCGAAAAAAAAAAGTACTCATCCTTTTCCACTCTTTGAGCTTGTGAGCTCGTGAGCTCGTATAGACGTCGCTCTTGGCAAGCAAAAGTTATATCGAGAAAGAAAACATCAGCTTGATTCCTAGACTTCTCTCCTTGTTGCCTTTGCTGACGACAGAATGTCTCAAGCTCATCGCCAATAAACCTCGTTCCCACACCCAATACCCTCGACTGGCCCGAATGAAGTCACCGCAAAACTGGGATCCTTCAAAGGGCCCAGCTTTTTAGTATATACACCAAAGTCACGAGAAATCCTGCTCCGCCCCCCGCGAAATATTTTATCCAATCGGGCGCGAACCCTGAGCCTTTCTATCACGGTATTGGTGAGCTAGCTGAAGATGGGCATTAGCCAGACCTTTCCTTCTTATTACCTACTTTGGAGAATGTATGTTCCCGTGGAGGTTGTCAAAGTGCTAAGCTTATATTTAGAACATGCAAATCTGGGGAAAGACAGGCTACCTGAGTTACTTGGGGCGTACATTCGTAAGCTTAGCCCGACAGTAGCCTCTTCAAATTCTCGGCAGAATGTGACTGGCCTTTTTTTTTCGTTGTCAGCTTCGATCTAGCAGGGCTGAGCAACGAACCCGCCAAGCGGAGAGGGCGTGCTGACGGGCTTGAGATTCTCAGCCCGGGTTTCCTCGCTTGCCGCGAAGCGGCAACATACGCAAAGAAGAATAACGGTAAGCCAAGGAAAAATCCGGTAGATCTTTTCTGTGACATTCTATCCTTACGGCTATCTCAGCAGCGTGATCATGTGGGATGTAGTCTTCCTGGGAAAGGCTACAACACAAAGTCTACAACACAAAGTCTCTGCGGGCCTTTTCAGTGAGGCGGAGTCGTTTCTTTTGCCTTACCTTGGTAGATGACTCCAGGATGTTGGCCTCGTGGTGTCTGTTGTGATACCTCAGAGCTGAGTGCTGGAGGATTGTTGACATCTCCCTCACGCTCTATCGGCCGCAATGTTGTCTCTCAACTTGTCTTTGCCTGGTGAGATATCGGGCGCAGCAGCTGATGATCCTCCTCCGACGTATCGTGCTGGACTAAGGGGCCTCTTCAACACGAAGAGGACGACGAAAAGAAGATGTCTATAAATCAGGATACTTCCCTCTTCTTCAAAATACCTTCCCCTCATCCACACCATCATCAACAGCTTCAACTCCAGCCTAACAAGCATACCAAACTCTCCATCTCAAGCCTACAACCCACCACCTAGACCAAAACAAACACTCTTACCAACCCGACAATGCAGCTCACCTCAATCCTCATCACCGCTCTCGCAGGCCTCGCCACAGCCCGCTCAACCCCCTCCGAGCGCCGCCAAACCTCCACCCCAAGCTGCCGCCTCGTCGCGCCCACAGACCTAAACTTTGGCGTCGCAGACCTCCGCTCCGGCACCGTCGTCACCAAAGTCCTCACCTTCCCTGTCGACCCCACCACCGCCGGGCCATGCCAGCTCGTCGGCGCCTTCCGCCAAGGGTTCCCCGTCGACCAGGGCGGCGACGCCTTTGCCCGCCTCAACGTGCGCGCGCTGGACGGTCCCGCCGCGGGTAGCCTGGTCGGCAGCTTTGGACCGCTCGAGGTGGCCAACGACGCTGTCGTCAAGGATACCGTGCAGGTCATCAACAGCTTCTCGTGCCGTGAGAGTTTGGCTTTCGAGTTTGCTGTTGCGAATGATGCGGATGTGGATGTTGATATCAACGTCACATTCACGGCTTCTGAGCTGGGCGGGTTCTTCGTGCAGGTTGGGGACCAGTGCAACTGAGCCAGTATGCTCGAGATAAGTCTTGGATGAACAGAGGCCGGGTACTTGACTTTTTTTCTCAGGCTCCGTCTAGATGCTGGGATTTGGTGTTTTGATTTTGCATTTGGGAGGCGCGGGTTTACTCGGGGTTTGGCATGGTGAGCAGCGTAATCATGGGCTCGGGAATTCTGATTCTTATAATTTTACTGGTACTTCTACCAACTAAACCATTCTGTCCTTAAAGTTTTCTCAGTCCTTCATGAATTATCATCGAGCCGTCCGTATCCCTCAGTCCTCTCTCAGCTCATCCTTTACCCTTGTTGCCTCTATTTTCGCCACTTTGCTCAGTCGTCCATTGCCTATAAGCAACTTCATATCACTGCCATGTAGCAACATGGCCAGAGACATAAACTCGAATTGAGACATTCAGAAAGTGCTAAAAGCAGAAAAGGGGAGCCAGACAGCTGTGTAGTCATCAAGAGTCGTCCTGGGCAAATAATTTGTTAGTCTTTGACCGGGATGAAGACAGGGAGTGTGACCATGTGCCGTCGATAGATAGCTAGTGTGCCGGGTACTCACATTTGGTTGTTGAGCATGCTTACTGTTAGCTTTTATTGCATCTTTGCCTCTACTCCCGAAGCAAGCAAAATAGGCGGCAACGTGTTTGCCATTCATGCGAGCTGGAGACTTGTAGACGAGAGACCCAATTAGGCTGGGGGCTACAGAGTGTTGGTAGGCTCATCAATAGCCATGACTTCGGAATAGTTGGCGTTGACGGCTTTGTTCTCGGCGAACTCGCTCTCGGCGGGCTTATCCTCAAAAGGGTTGAACTCGAAAGACTCCAAGTTGCCATAAGTAGACTTCTCATCTTCGGACTTGATACCTTCCGGCTTGCCATCGTCAGACTTGCCGTCGACGAACTTGCTGTAGTCAACAATGCTTGCCGTGTCCCAGTCAAAGGTCTTCCCGCAAGACGCGCATCTTAACACCCGCGCAAAACAATTAATAAGTGACCGCTCAGAAAACAAGAAGAAACAACACTAGAGAAAATGCTTCCACATGGAGCAAGGGCACTTACTGAACGTGATTACAGCCACCATCAGCCTTCTCAGCGGCGTACTGACACTTAGGGCTCTGCTTGATGCTCAACTGCCCCATGGTACGATGACTCTGGCGCTCGAGCTCCTCTTTGAGCTTTCCCTCCGCCTCCCAGCGAGCCTGAACCTCGGCACAGTTCTCGCCCTGGTGAACCTTATCGCCGCATCCAATGCAGGTGAGCTTTCCGCAAGGACAAGTACCAGTGCCGTCAACAGTGGCGGCGTCGTTGTTCAGACCGAAGCGGTAACGAGGCGGGATGTAGCGGCCGCAGGCGGCATCATGGCAGTACAAGGCGGCGTTGCGGGAGACCTCATCGGCCTCAGAGCCCAGGTCGAAGTAGGTTGTAGCATCCTTGCGGCGGAGCAACTGACGCGCCCAGAGATCGGGGAAGGGCTTCTGGGATCCGCAGCCGCCGTCGCACTTGGGCTTGAAGAACGGCTTCGAGAGGCACGACTTCAAGTAGGCGGTCGCGCAGGTGGTGCAATAGGGATCGCAGCCGCAGGAGAAATCCTTGCGGGTGGCTTTCTTGCAGGCCTTCCCGCAGAGGACGCAGTCCTTGATGTCTTTTTTGCCCTCCATGGTATTGATACTTCGAACGTGGGTTTTCGAATATTGATAGAAGTTGGGGTGCCGACAGCTACACCGAGTATGAAGGTAAGCTGACGATGGAAATGGAAAGTGGAGAGTCGAGGGACGGACTCCGGGGTTTGATATCGGAGAAGGATGGGACCGGAAACCTTTAGCTGTCTATAGGGCGCTCTTGTTCTTGCCTTTGGATGGGTCCCCTTTGAGTGGGAAGGCACTCTGGTCGTGGAAGGACATCGCGAGAGGCTCTCATGAGCACACGGGAGCGTGAAGGCTCAGAACCATGAATTGTCCGTAGCCAGCCTGTGCTACAAAGATGAAATTCTCACGAGCTCGAGGCGTAGATAGCTTGGCCTGAAGTGTCTGCAGTGAACGTGGCCAGTAGAAGGCTTGAGAATCGAGAGTGCTTGAATCTCCGAGGTCTAGTGGCTAGTCGTGTGTGAATATCAATTCTCAAAGGTCTAATGTGGGATTGATATAATTAAACATAAAAAGGCAAAAAATGGCAATCGGTGATAAAATGTGGTGTAAGTGCTGTCAACTTGTCTCCTGAAGCAATGAGAACATTGGCGATGTCTTTGTATTACGGAAGTCGTTTGAATTATCGAGGCTCATTGAGCATCTCTGAATCTCCCATATCCAAATGATTATTCTGTGCTTTGAAGTTCCTTGAAGATTGCAAGTTGGCTCTCTTTAGATTAAAGAACAAAACAAGAATCCAGAATCTGTCGAGAATATCCACGCTGCTTCTGCAGTTTCGGGACATTAAACAAGATTTCTTTGGGCTCATACTTGCATTGTGATGTAATCATGACAGTCTAACTTCAATATTTACTCACAGCCAACATTTTGTTTTCAGGATAAAACTTTCGAATACTTTGTGTGGTTTTCGGTCTTCTCCCAGAATATCCAATTCGGTGGATAATCTCTACTTAATTAGTGTAAGTAATATCCTTCCATAAGTAATCACTTCTAGTCTCTAGATTGTCATCTTGAAATGAAACAATCATATGGAAACACTCGTAGGCCGAATTTGTGGCGGAAATGGGCCAGCAACTCCTGTTCATCATCTATTCAAAACCATGGCGTGCCGATGCGTGGCTAAAATGATGGGCTCAAAAGTGAAAGGGCAACTTGGGCGAAGGAGAACATCCCTCTGGTTTCGAGTGAACCGGTAAGCACAACTACAAGTCCAAGCAGAGTAAACCGTTAATAGATAAGTGACGACTTATCATCGTTTCTCTTTTTCCACTTCTTAGCTACATCGTCAGTACTTTTTAGGTACTCCACTCCCAATCCTTACTTGGCCCGTAACCTGAACTACGAAGTTAGACTACATAAGTATACACTTAATGACTCCGGGATCAAGGTCAAGCGTCCCCTTCTTGATTTTAGTCAGGTAGGGTGCACTATGTAGAAGTCAAAATGTCAAAGTACACCTCGACTTCCACACGCCTAGTGCACTGGCCAAAACCCAGACTACTTTCATCTACCCTGAGATGCACCTCAACATCCATAAACAAACATAGCTGCAAATAAATGGCGCTTACTCGGCCGTAGGTGAGATATCACGTTGTACCGCGTATGCACCGCAGGAGTTTGTGGTTTGACTATGTTACATGAAGGCTTTTCCCAATATGGGCCGTGTTCTTCTAAGGGAATGCCAAGATCTTGACCGATTCAAAGTGCTTCGACTGTGAATCATGATCAAGAGCGCCTGGGCGCGGGCTATGTATTATCAAAGCACTTCGGTTCTACCCCGCAAAATCTAGAATGTCCTACTAGCTGGTGTCTGAGGTACAATCGACACAGATTGCCATAATTGTTCGGATTGCCACGAGGAGCAACAGCGTAAGGGAGATCATGTGTGCATGCAAGCGCCTTACTCCGGAAGTTACAGGCTGGGTGTAAAGACAGGCTGTGACCATGAGACAGAACGACCTAGAAGTCATCGAACGATGACTATAAGCTGTCACTTATCGGCCCAATGTCCACAAGGGTTCACGTTGGACAAACTACATCAGTGTTAGCCCGACTTCCCCTCTCAAGCGGTCAAGCTTATGTTTGCTTCTTGGCTAGATTAGTGCGTAGCTCCTGGTAGTTGTCTTTGGTTAACCACACCTTTTTTAATGCAACATTAAAGCAATATCTCATTGGCTCGGACTCTACCACAGGAATCCTTCGAAAGTCACCTAAAGTCCTGCCGCACTGAAGTATACGACTAGACAAGACAAACAGCCGGATGGTAGCATAGACAAGGTGCAGCAACACGGCTGTCAGAGGCTACACCCTCATACGTAGAAGAATGAGGTGCATAATCCTTAAGCTGTTAGACACATGCCGTTGACAAGGCAGCCAATCCGGTGTTGCTCTCTGTGTATCAACCCCGCAGCTATGCCACATTACTTTGATCATCTGTCTCTCAGCTGAATCAACATGAGGAGTTTGTATCGTTCAGCTATGTTGATCTCCTCGGAATAGTAAGACGGGCATGATATTGCTCCTTTGCATCGGAAGCTTGAGGAGTCGGCTTGAGTGCCAGAGCATGAGATCATGTTATATTATCAAGGGGCTTATAAAGGCCATGAAAAGACAACAAAACAGTTGTCTTAAGCAAGAAGCTTGAACCCAGTCAACTACAGCTGTTGAGCCTTACGTGAACTTCAAGTGAACTCTTGGAAACAAAGGTACAGCCCAGCTATCAGAGACTTGCGATCCGAAAGACGACTGACTAGCTCTATGTTTCAGAAACTCGCCCAATATGCGCTTCGCCACCTCCATGACCATTTTCTTCCTCGCCGCAGCCGCCCAGGCCAGCGTGGCCCAGCAGAATGAACCTTACGCCGTAGCCGCGCGAGCTGACACGGACGAGCCCGTGGCCACACTGGAGAAGAAGGAAGAGACGGGTCTGGAGAAGAGGGCCTGCAACTACAACGGGTGCAAGTGCGACAGCAAGAACAAGCAACTCACCGTCTGCGGCAACTGCGTCTGGAGCCGCGACAGAGGTTACGTCGTGACGAGCAAGAGGATCGCCAACCACATTTACGAATGCTCGCCCAGCGGCAGATGCTGCGACTACGGTGTCGCCCATGACTGCGGTTCCCTCTCTGCTCGGTGCATTGTGAACTGAGTGGGCGGCGACTACTACACTTATTGTCTGAAGGGGTTGACTAAAGGATCAGAATGAGCTTTCATCTCGGGTTCACGGCAAAAGTTGTGTTTGAAAGTGTCGTCTCAAGTCTGTATTTAACTCGAGTCACTCGCTCAAGTCGGGTTAGATCGTGGGGTTTGATTCACTGAAGTTGCAGAGGAAACAAAAATCGGTAAAAAACCATTGGAGGCAATTATGGTTCCATGCAGGAGTGAAGTGCGTAAAGTTGCATGTTCCTGGTTCGAGACACTTATAAGGCAAGACGAGGCGAGTTGAGCCTAAAAATAGGGTATCAAATGACGTTGTGACGTGTAAGAGAAGCAAACTTAGCCGACTTGAACCACGATCTGCCGCGTGCAACCCGCAGTCTAGTCGCAGCCCACGGGTAATAGGCGTCTGGAACCTTGTAATTAGCAAGGTCAGAGTTGCAAGAATACGCGCCTCCCATGGTGATTTTCGATGGGGGGTGGACCGCTTGGCCGCAGACTTGGCTTTTTTTTTTTTGTTCCCATTGCCCCTGGGGGAGTTTGCGACTCCAGATCTGAGAATAGACGACCGTTTTTGCTTGGATCAGACGAATCAGGTGACTGCTATTTACCTCCGTACCCGAGTTTAGGGAATATTTTTTCACCGCGCCTGTGGAAAGCTCTTACCAGGTGAAACGGGATTGGACATTGCATTCCTTAAAGGGGGCAACTCCCCGGTTAACGACTTACGGGGGCTTACCCCGCGCAGTTGCGTTTACCAGGTGGGGTTCAAAATCTGTGTTGCTCCCACCACCAACTTCACATCACACGCGAAATCTAGTATGCCAAGATGGCTGCCCAAGTTCCCACAGAAGCTTTGAAGAAGCTCAACGGTATGGCGCTCTTCGCCGTAGCTACCGGCTGTTCGCCCGTCAAGTCCGGACTCCTATGCTAATCAATGATTTCTTCTTCCAACAGTGGGAGAGCCTGCGACCAACGGCAAGGCAGCGAAGCCAACGGAGGGAAATGGGGTCGACCACGACAGCGACGACTCGGATGAGGAGGGCGAGGATGTGACGGCACCCGCTGCCGGTGGAGCGGCCAAGAAGAAGAAGAAGAACAAAAAGAAGAAGAAGAAGAAGTCCCCGACCGCCCAGTCCGACCCCCCGCGCGTGCTCATGTCCTCGCTATTCCCCCAAAAGAACTACCCCAAGGGCCAGGAGGAGGAGTACCGCGACGAGAACCTCTACCGCACGACGAACGAGGAGAAGCGCCACCTCGACAACCTCAACAACGACTTCTTGACAGATTACCGCGAGGCCGCCGAGATTCATCGCCAGGTCCGCCAATGGGCGCAGAAGAACATTAAGCCCGGCCAGACCCTGACCGAGATTGCCGAGGGCATCGAGGACGGCGTGCGTGCGCTGACAGGACACCCTGGTCTCGAGGAGGGCGACGCGTACAAGGGCGGCATGGGCTTCCCGTGCGGCCTATCCCTCAACCACTGCGCGGCGCATTACACGCCCAACGCAGGCAACAAGATGGTGCTCTCGCAGGAGGACGTCATGAAGGTCGACTTTGGCGTGCACGTCAACGGACGCATCGTCGACAGCGCCTTCACCATGGCGTTTGAGCCGCAGTACGACAACCTGCTCGCGGCCGTCAAGGACGCGACCAACGCCGGTGTCAAGGAGGCCGGCATCGACGTCCGCGTGGGCGACGTCGGCGGCGTCATCCAGGAGGTCATGGAGAGCTACGAGTGCGAGATTGACGGTGTGACGTACCCCGTCAAGTCGATCCGCAACCTCAACGGCCACACGATTGAGCGCTGGAGCATCCACGGCACCAAGAGCGTGCCCATCGTCAAGAGCAACGAC